TGGAGTTTCTTCCAAAATGGTATTAGAACCATGTCCAGGCCCATCGCTATCCTGTGCTGCCCAGCTCCGACATCGCCCAGAGGTTTTTATAACCTGAGTACCAACCACCCCTCCAGAGGCTCCAGGAGCCCAGTGCTCACACCGCTCCTCTGGCCCTCACTCCGCGGGGCATCCAGCTTCCTGAGTCCCCCTCCTAAACCAGACCATTCCAGGAGCAAACATTATTAGTCAAGGATGATTAGTCAAACATCTCGAGTCAAAGGATAAGGCCAGTAAGAAGCTGTGAACTTCTCCATGGCCTGTGGAGTGAGGGCGGCAAGGACACGGGGGCCCACGGGCTAGGGGAACGAGGGGCTCTGGCTATGCTCACGGAGGGCAGCCTTGGGAACAAGCTGACCACGGCTTTCCAAAACAGGCCCTGCCGGGCTGGCCACCCCCAACCCCGGATCACACAGGACTCTTACAACACATTCTGATTGTGCCCCTTATTCACGCGTGTCGCCTGAAATGAGTGTGGACAACACTCGACCCTCAGACCGACCTAAAAAACTGGATGGCCCCCCTTTCTGGGATTAGACACAGTTAAGCTGTGTGCCTGCAGCCCAAACAACCGTGCTTATTTGGCAGTGATGTGACATCTGTAAGCTATGAACAGATTGATAATTTGGGGTTTTTAAAAGGGCAATTCAAGAGGATTGAGTTACATATAGGATCATAAGGCAAAGGGAAAAAAACAAACGGTCTCTGGTACTGGAGCCAAGTCTTTTCCCCGCAACTCTAAGCACATTCCACAGAAACCACGTGAGCCCACCACCGACCGAGGGGCAAGGCCACCGACTCAGGCCAGGCCACCCTCCTTAGCGCGAGTCATCACGACCTCAACCGTGACTACAGCAAGAGGCCAAGGACATCCTCCTTGGCACAAATGAGTGGGAAGCACGGGGCACAGACAGGGTGGCCCTCATCCGTGTCACACGCTGCCCCTTCCAGAACTCCAGAACCGGCATTGCCTCGCAGACCGTCCCCCTGTCACGTTCTTCCACCAGTCTGTCTTCATCCGCTTGGTCTTCACTGGGCACTAACCTGTCTGTAACCCCACTCTTTTCAGGAACCCATTCATGATCACCAATAAAATGTTTTTTAATGATATGACAACATAAAGAATTTATGTTAGGGACGCCTGGGTGGCTCAGTCAGTGAAGCGTCTGCCTTCGGCTCAGGTCATGATCCCAGGGTCCTGGGATGGAGCCCTGCGTCGGGCTCCCTGCTCAGCAGGGAGTTTGCTTGAGATTCTCTCTCCCTCTGCCCCTCCCCTCCCCCCATCACGTGCTCACTTGCTCTCTCTTAAAAAAATTAAAAAAAAAAAATAAAAAGTAAAGATATGGTGGCTTGCAGTAAATAATGGGACTCCAAACTGAGATACACCAACACATTAATTCATGCAAACCATTTGGAATTCTTAAGAAATAACTACTTTGAAACCTGTGGTTTTTAAAACTGCAGGCACTTGAATACTTTTCTAAGAGCAATCTGTCTCCTCGCAGCTCTGGGCCATTATCAGGAATTCAACAACTCCACACAACGCCAAGCCCACGGCCCTTTAGAGTTCTGCGTGTTAACAGAGCCTCTCTAATATGAACTAGCTGACCGGACAGTCTCTCCAGCTGAGACCGTCGTGGGGCGGCCATGGCAGGGAAGGTGTTCATCCATCTCAGAGAAGATTTTAACACGAGACGCCACTATAGGTCAATGGTAAATCTAATACAGAGACACTGATGGTGAGCTTTCTCCCCAGCATGTCCGTACGTGGCAGCCACTTCACAAGGACCCCGTCCGCCTCCGTGCCCTCGGGCGCCAACCATGGTAAGAAGTCAGACTGCTGGGGGAGCCCCTCCCAGGGCAGAGTCAGCAGAAGGCACACATCACAGCACGCTTTCTCCTAATGCAACGGTCAAGCAGAATGGTCCTCAATTATGATCTCTTCTTCAAAGTAAAGTAAAATTCAGTATCAGAAAAATTTCTCTAGTTTGCCCCAGTCCTTTTTTTTAAGGTTTTATTTATTTATCTGAGAGAGAGGGAGAGAGCACATGAGCAGGGGCAGAGGGAGAGGGAGAAGCAGCTCCCCACTGAGCAGGGAGCCCGACGTGGGGCTCAATCTCAGGACCCCGGGACCATGACCTGAGCCACCCAGGTGCCCCTCGTTTGTCCCAATCCTAACAACAGGTACTGTCCATCAGTCATGTCCAAGGGACACAATCCCCCAGAGAGTAATGCTTCCCACAAAGTGTGTCGGCTCGTCAAGAACTCAGACTCAGATAAAAAGAAAATCTATTTTCTCCCCCAGATGTTATAAGCTCGAAGTTTGATCTCTTTTTCTGTGTTCATTTAACAGCATTCTGCAGTTTCCCCTAATGAAATATTTTTCACATTAATCACATCAAAGACACTTAAAAAGATGAAATATTCTGTTTTTAAGATAACCCGAGAAACTCCCAGAATTATCGAGTACTACGCTCCTCAGCGGGTGCAGTTTAAACCAAACAAACATCAGGCCTTAAGTGGCTGGCCAGACCCGCGTGGGTATCGACCCAGAATCCATGTGGACAGACAGAGCAATCAGTTCTCTGAAATCGCTGCAGGCACCATCTCTACCATGGACGTTAAATATCCAATAGCTAGGATCGGGGCATCCCTCTTGTCCTCAAATTTAATGTGTAAAAAAATGAAGCGCTTCCACTCCCGGATGCCTACCAAGAGAAACGAAAAACACAGGTTCTTGCCAACCCCTGGACAGGCATGGTCATCACAGTGAGAAACTGGAAGCACCCCAAGTGTCCACCGACAGATGAACATGGTCCATCCACACGACGGAGCAGGACCCGGCGATGGAAGGGGTGAAGTGCTGGCACTCTCTCCACAGTCCCCCGAGTGGGAAGTGCCTGCAACAGGTCATTCCAGAGACGGAAAGTGGACCGGTGGTTCCCAGGGACGATGGGCAGTGACTCTGGTGGGGCTTCTTTCCAGGGTGACAGAATGTTCTAGAATCAGACTGGATGATGTCTACACAACTGTGCGAACGTACTAAACACCACTGAATGGTATGCTTTACAATGGTCAACCTTAGGATATTTAAATTAGATCTCAGTTTTAAAGAAAGGCTGTGCCTAAGCTCTGTTTCTCTCCCCGCTCCTGCTCTGCTGTCCCCATTCTAGCAAATTATGTCAGACGTGAGCAAAACTTTGAGAAAAACACTGTTTTCAATGTTTCAGTTATGGTAACCGGTCTAACAGAAAAATCTTTGCTCAGTAAATCTACATCATTGTCTTTAGGAATCTAAACAGCTCTTTTAGTAAAAATCAACAACTCAGACCCAAAACCAGAAAACCTTACAAGTTTACTAGAATACGAAACCCAGGCTTTTGAAGTTGGTACCACAGCACTGAACACCTCTGTCCCCCCTCCTCCCGACGCTGTAGAAAGCCACGTGGGAAGCCTAAGTTGGCCCGTAAAGGCAGGACAAAGGTGCCAGGCACGTGAGGCCAGCTCTGCAGCACAGGGCCAGCCGAGAGCAGACATCAGACCCTGGCAGGAGACGCAGGGGGACGGGAAGCCAGGTGTGGGTGAAACAAGCTCACATCCAGGCACAGACAAGCGGCTCCCTCTGCCTCTCGGGGGAGGCGAAACGATCCCCCCTGAGCACCTAGGTCTGGCCCTCGGCAGAGACATGGAGACACCTCTGGTCGAAGGCAGTGACCGGCTACCGGCTACGAAAGCACAACAGTCTGTTGTCAGAAGGCCTCCAGAATATGACTGATGTGCATGCACATGAAAGGTCCCCGTGCCACAGGGGAGGAAAGCACCGGAAATCACACAGTGCCTATGTTCACACAGAAAAAGCCTGCAGGATTGACAGAGATCTCTGGACATGAAATGCCATGTTGTTCTCACTTTCTTCTATCACTTTTTTAAAAACAGTAAACGGGGGCACCTGGTTGGCTCAGTCGTTAAGCGTCTGCCTTCGGCTTAGGTCATGATCACAGGGTCCTGGGATCGAGCCCCTCATTGGGCTCCCTGCTCGGCGGGGAGCCTGCTTCTCCCTCTCTGGATCCCCCTGCTTGTGTTCCCTCTCTCCTAACAACAGGTACTGTCCATCAGTCATGTCAAATAAAGACAGTCTCTCTGTCAAATAAATAAATAAAAATCTTGGGGAAAAAAAGTCTTTAAAAAAATAAAATAAAAATAAAAACAGTAAACATCTGCAGATCTTCGTCAACTTAGGATGCGGTTATGTCCCAAGAAACCCATCATAGCTTGAAAAATGTTGAGTCAAAAATTCATTTAATAGGGCACCTGGGTGGCTCAGTTGGTTAAGCGACTGCCTTCGGCTCAGGTCATGATCCTGGAGTCCTGGGATCGAGTCCCGCATCGGGCTCCCTGCTCCGCAGGGAGTCTGCTTCTCCCTCTGACCCTCCCCCCTCTTGTGCTCTATCTCATTCTCTCTCTCAAATAAATAAAATCTTTAAAAAAAAAAAAAAAGAAAGAAAAAAATTCATTTAATGCCCCTAACCTACCAAGCATCACACATGAGCCCGGCCCACCCTAGACGTGCTCAGAACATCCACGTTAGCCTACAGTTGGGCAAAATCACCTCACACAAAAAATACCGTGTGAGACGGCTCACGGAACGTACTGAACCCTGCGCTGAAAGCGACAAACGACGGCTGCGCGGGGGCTGCAGCGTGGTGGTTGGGGTGGCGGCTGCTGGGAGCCCGGCCCCCCATCGTGAGGATCAGACTGCACACCACCAGCCCTGGGACAAGATCCAAGTTCAAAATTCGAAGTACGTTTTGACCGAGGCTGGATCCCTTGGCTCCGCCGCGGAAGCTGAACCATCAGAAGGCGGGGACCGTCTCGCTTTCCTAAGAAGCAGAAACACAAGACAAAACACAAAGCAGTACCTACTGCCATTCAGGCAAAGGAAAGAAGCTCTGCAGGCGCACCTTCCGAGTTGAGGGTGATGAGGGTGACGTTGTTGCCGATGTTCTGACTTCCTGACTGTCCGCAGTTGGAAACGGAGTCGCTGGCCTCGGAGCCGCTCTCCCCGTCCTCGTTGTGACTGTCGTCTTGACCCGGCACCTTCACCACAATGGTGTTCTGCCGCCGCCCGGGCACCGCGCTGAGCGGGAGACAAAAACACCAGCCAATGTTGTGAGAGCACCAGGACGGACGGGCAGACACTACAGCACTCAGGCACTGCCACGTTCTTCTCTCTCCTTCATTGACCAGAGAAGCTAACTGCGCCCGGAGCGGCAGCGCACGGCTGCCCACACGGCTCTCTCTACTGAGACTGACAGCAACCGAACAGCCCGGAGGTCCGGGGCTGAAGGAAACCACATGAAATTGAGAAGTTTACAAACATGTGCATATCGCAAAAGAAGTAAAATCACAACCCACTGGGACTCAAGGCCTAGAAGGCAGCTCTCTGATCACAGAGGTGATCCCGCCAACTTGCGGGCACTTGAGTAGCCCCCGAGGCTATGTCAGAGGAAAGACCAGATTAAAAGAGGAAGTGGAAAGCGAGCCTGGAGTCTCCCACTGACCCCGTCCAGTCCACACTGTTAGGCCTTCTGGAAGCGAGTCAGCTTTGTCAATGGCAATTGTCACTCCCAACTCTTCCCACCGACAAAAACACTGACGTGGGTCTAAAAAGCCAGCCAAGAACTTCCTGGGGGATGGTCTCACCACACTCTAAGGGATCCTGACGTGGAGCAATAAGACCTGCCAGAGACACAAGACACAAGCCACCAGCTCCAAAAAGGGCTCAAAACATCTGTGTGTATTACCTGGAGACTACCTGGGACTTCCACGGCCCTCTCAACATCCCTTCACGGGGCCTGGTAGGCACGGGAAAAGGGGAAGAAACGCACTTTCCCTGTTTACAGAGACAAAACGCGCTTCCAACCCCGGCCGTGCCGCCGGGAGGGGGCTCCATCTTCTGAACTTGATTCCACAGCAGCCTGCCCAAGCTGACCTCGCTCCTAAACGCTCAGAGTCTGACAAGCTGACCTCCGGCCGAGCCCTGCCTCGCCTCCACCGGCCAGATCTCCTCAGACAGCCTCTCCCCCAACACCTGACAGAGCAGGCCGTGCGCGAGGCACAGCGGGCCCCCTCAAGACCGGGCCAGGGCAATAAAGGAGACAGGACACAGCTGGGGGAGGAGCACTCTGCAGAAAGGACTGAGAGAAAAGGCAAAACAGAACTCCTCTGTGGACACACTGAAGGAAACAAGAGGCCAAAGAGCCCGCTCCGGCATGTTCCCAGGAAAAGCTGAGCCCAGACCACCAGGCAGGGCCGCCCACAGCGGACCTCACCATCACACGCTGCCTTTATGCTCTCCTATTTCTGACCAAGGTTACATTTACCATGTCTCCAAAGAAAAAGGTGGGAGAAAAACACCACCACCTTGAAACAGCCTCATCACTCAGCAAAGTTAAAAATGCCTGTCTGTCTGTTGACTTGACATGCTGCTACAGAGACAGACAGACGTGAGTACGGGGTGGTCAGGGAGGAGGACACGAGCCCCAGCGGCTACTGGGAAAACCTCCAGCCGTCTCCCCCTAAAGCACATGGGCACCGGAAGTTCCAAGTGCCTCTCCCCTTGACGTGTCACCTTCTCCAGCTAGCACGTCGGGCGCGGGCCTGCAGCGCCGCTCGGCCCTCCCCTACCACAAACAACTGCGGGCAACGTTGACTGGTCCTCGAGGGGACTCATCACGGCGGCAGTGGTAGTGAAAGGTGGGGTTGGTGTTGTGGCTACTGACTTGCTAATGATATTTTCCAGGGAATCCGGTGCCCTGCTGCTCAAGGGGTCGTCCATCTTGGCTACAATGGCGTTCTGCCGATCATTGTTGAGTATTACTGTAGTCTGGGGGACGACGCTAGGGAACAAAAGAATCACAAAGAAAAAGAAGACCTTAAAACAACAACATTCATTTTAAGAGTACATAAGAGTAATTCAATACAGTCTGCTCCCCATGACCTGCACTAAGGGAGGGGAGGTGGCCCCAAGCAGAAGTCACGTGTAAAGTTAATGGACAGTTTACACTGGGCAAAGAATAAACTGGAGGTGTTTTTCTTTCTTTCTTTTTTTCTTTTTAGGAGAGAGTTTACCTTCCCTCACTGCTGGTATTCTCAGTTGACTTGAGGTAGGAATATTGGCACCTTTACACAGATAGGAGCGAGAGGTCACGGGGTGTTACGCAGTTAGTAAGGTTTCTGAAGTCCTATGTCTGCATGAAACACAGCTTCGTATTTGTACTCATTCTATTCCAAAGAATTCCTACGTGGCAAATCGAGGCTTTCATAAGCACCATACTTGTCAACATCATTGCACAAGATTAGCTCTGGAAGGAAAGGGGCAAAACCACACGTGTATCACCTGTGGCTTCTACCAGGGGAGTGCAGGAACCGTGAGAAAGGGCCTTGGCTCTTCGCTTTGCAGGAAAAGGATTATACAACAGACAGAGCCCCTACGTGCCCCGGACAGGTGGCGCCCTGCCCGGGGACCCTCCGACAGGGGACCCTCCGACATGGGGACCCTCCGACATGGGGACCCTCCGAGAGGCAGCCCGTGTGCTTCAACAAGCAGCAGCCAACAGCTTATGTCAGGGCACGTGCTCCCAGACTGCACGGTCACTCAGTGTCTGGCCGCTGGTGCTGTGGCCCTGGCAAGTCTGCGCGTGCTTTGTCAGGGGGTGGAAGGGGAGCACCGGAAATGCACGGTAAAACTACCCGCAAAGAGGTCATTCTTGAGTTTCACAACTCGGGGGGGGTGGGGGGGGCGGGTAGGGGGGAACGGGACAGTGCTTTCACGTGAAAAGACTTCACGTCACCAAAAGCACGTGGGAAAATGCAGCCCAGTGTCACCACCACGTGGCTGTTAAATGCCCCCTCCCAAAATCAGGGGCACAAACAGCGCCGTTACGTGCCCAAGGGAATCAGGACCACGAGGTGTTTTTCTAAAATAAGAGCATAATCAACGGCATTTCATTCAAAAGCATTATTTTTTTTCAGTGACTCTACTTGTTCTTTGTTGACACCTAAAGCAAGCCGGCAGGTCCTTACAGCCTACCCCTAGGACAGGTGTCACAGAAACCCAGGTCATGACCCGCGACTCGGGACTGTGGGCACACGCAGGCTTTCAGGGTTTCAGCTTCCCTCGTATCCAGAACAGGAGATTAATGGTTCCTATGCACTTGCTCTTTTCCTGGAGCACATTCTGTGGAGCCCTGCTCTCCCGCAGGATCCCACACACGTGCCTCTCCGGCCCTCTCCTTCCATGAGCAACTAACTAGGACGACTCAGGGGCTAACAACAGTTCCCGAGTGGGACTCCGCCATGGGCGGCAGCACAAGAAGGGTTCTCAGAAGTCCTGAAGGGAACAGATTAAAATTTATCCAGGCACCACCGGGCAAAGTTGTTTGACTAAATAGACCTTTTCCCCCTAACCATTCTTGTTAAGGGCAAGGAAATAATGTTCTGAAGCAACCAGCTTCAAGGTAAATGAGTAGCCCTCGGGGTCCCCCACGACACCCAGGGAGTTCCTGGATGCGGACAGCTCTCCGCAACGCCATGTCCAAACCCTCACCTCGCAGAATGTACTCTTTCCTAAAAAGGTTTCACTTTAAGAGAGCACCCTGATCAATGTGTTTACTCCCTCTCACAAAGCCCTTTCCCACCTTGAAATAAAACGAGCTGTCCCTGCAACTACAGAGACGGGCGCCGTCCATCTGGGACAGAAGCCCCCCAGGAGAGCACGGGGCCCCTCGGAGACACCAGGCTGCGTGTGAGAAAGCCGATGCCTCTGCTGCTCACCAAAACGCCCCAGGGCGCTACCGGCTCACCAGTCCTGCTTCCAACAAAACAGACAGACCAACTTGGTACCTTTTCAGCCCAGAGATCATCAAAAACCATCTTTGACGACAGCTTACAAAGACCTTAGACACAACCTGAGGAGCTGAGAGGCGCCTCTCCTCCCACATAGTTATTTATGTGAACCCAGTTTCTCAGCACTTACAACTTTAAAAAAACTACCACTGGAAGTGGGACCAAGGCTGAACCTTGTCTCATGTCATAATCATCTGCGGATTCAAGAATTAACCAAAACTAAAGCCCCATCCGTCTCAAGAACGCATTCCCAATACTGGATTATTAAGAATTAGTTACAGGAGTAACATACATATGCTGCTTTGTTCAACTGTGTACTAATAACTGTTATGAGAACTCAATCTAAAACACCTTTTTTAACGCTTGGGACCTCATGGCTACAGGAAATACATTTTTCAGCTTCAGTTTCTCTCTCTGTTCCTGTTGCACAGAAGCAGGTCACAGCCAGTGGACACGGTAAACTTCAGGGAGGGGATGAACTTTCAAAAAGCAAAGGAATAAGGTGAAATTCAACTGTGGAAAGCTCATTGGTGGGGTGCTTGTAAAGAGACGATGGTATTCAGATTATAATGCAAACACCTGAGAAAGCAATGAATCAATGTTCTAATATGCCAGAAATCACACCCTTTCCACTAATGCAATGCATTTATATCAACCTCGAATTGTATACGAGAATATTTCATTTTTCAAAAACTAAGGAAAATAAGAATGAAATGGTTAATACGGGAAAATTGCCACAATAATATAAGTGTCTTGCCTGGGCTGAATTACACTCTCCAATTATTCAGTCACACTGATCTGCATGTGCTATGAAGCGATTCTGCAGATGTGATTAGAAGTCCTAACTGGAGGACCTTAAATTAACCAAAAGGGGATTATCCTGGGTGGGCCTGGCCTGATCAGGTGAGGGGTGGAGGTTTTCTTCCTGGTCTTGGACATGCCAAGAACAGCTCCTGCTAGCTGATCCTGATCTCCCCCTCCTCCTGCCGACCTGCCCTAGACGTCAACTGTGCTTGGCTGCCCCCACAGCTGTGTAAGCCAACTCCAGTCCAAGTCCTTAGAGGGTCTACTGTCCCTCGCTCGCTGTGTCGTGCCTCCTCTCTCCCTCTCTCTCACGCACACACACTACTGGTTATGCTTTGAGACAATCACAGAAGTAATAAAAGTACTCTACACAGTCCCGTGTCCCCGGTGGTGACATCCTATGAAGCCTGCGGTACAGTATGGAAAGCGGAACACTTCCGTGAATGAGACGACAGCCCTTACTCAGATTTCACGGGCTCCGCATGCACTTGTGTCTGTGTGTGGGGGGCCGGGCGGATCAACCCCATGCACAAACCCATGCCCCCGCACCGCCACTGCTGAGAAGCAGCCTCACGCTGCCCCTTTAGACATGCCCGCCCTCCCAGCCTCATCCCTGTCCCCCAGCAACCGCTAACCTGCTCTCCACCAATACGGTTCTTACACTTGGGCAACATTAGAGACGTGATGACCTTGGAGACTGGCTTTCTGGGCTTGGCGGAATCCCCGAGGTCAGTCCCCTCTGGGTTGCTGCTGAGGACATTCCCACGGCACAGGGGGACTCGCAGGTGTGGGTCATTACAAACAACGCTGCCACGGACATTCATGTGGAGCTTGTGAACATATGTTTTCATTTCTCTGGGCTAAGTGCCCAAGAACGGGACTACTGAGCCATACGGTACGTCCATGTTTAGCCTTACACACTCCTGCCAGACTCTTCCAGAGCGGCTGCCCCATTCTCCATCCCCACCAGCAGCACAGGAGAGGTGCAGTTTCTCCACATCCTCGCCAACACCCGGGGGTGGTGCTGCTTCTATGTTGCCATTCTGACCGACGTGGAGTGGTCCTCACCGTGGTCTGGACTTTCCTTAACCTGACGACTAATGATCGTGTGCTCATGTGCCATCCGTATCTCCCCTTGGGCAACGTCTCTATTCGTGTTTCCTGCCCACTTGCTGGCGGGGCCGCTTTTCTGCAGGGGAGCGCGCTCTGGCACCGTCGGGCGTGCGCTGTGCGCGCCTCCCCACCCCGCCTGCAACCTGTCCCTCCATCGTCCCCACGGGTCTCTCGAGGAGCCTAAGTTCATCATTTTCGTCATGTCCAACTCATCACTATTTTCATGAGCCCTGCTTTCGGTATTGAGTCTAAGAGGTCTGAGCCAGGCCTTAGGTCTCAAACATTTTCTCCTACAGCTTCATCTGCAGGTCTCACAGCTTTACACTGAAATCTGTCCTCCACAGGAAATTGATTTCTGCTCCAGGGATGACGTGACCCCAGGCTCCGTCCTCATATTCTGCCTGCAGATGTCCCAGTGCCCTGGTTCCCTGTGTTAAAAGGATGCCCTTCCCCCGCTGACTGGTCTTGGCACCCCTGTCAAAGCTCAGCAGGCCAATTTCTAGGCTCTCCGTTATGTTCCACTCATCAATTTCTCTCCCCCTCCCTCATTTTGTTTTCTAAAAGCTATGTGCTCGATTAATTCTCTAGCAACCTTAAATCATTTTCTATACCCTTACCTCTATGTTTGTCGTTTGCTTTTGCTTTTTAAGTTTCTATTAAATAAAAACCAAAATACTGGGGCGCCTGGGTGGCTCAGTCGGTTAAACGTCTGCCTTCGGCTCAGGTCATGGTACGAGGGGCCTGGGATCGAGCCCGCATCGGGCTCCTTGCTCGGCGGGGAGCCTGCTTCTCCCTCTGCCTCTCTCTCTGTCTCTTATGAATAAATAAAATTTTAAAAAATAAATAAATAAAAGATTTTATTTGTTTGAGAGAGAGAGACAGTGATAGTGAGAGAGCACACGAGCAGGGATGAGAGAGGGAAGCAGACTCCCCGCGGAACAGGGAGCCCGACGTAGGACTCCATCCCTGGACCCTGAGATCATGACCCAAGCTGAAGGCAGACGCTTGACCAACTAAGCCACCCAGGCACCCCTAAATAAATAAAATCTTAAAAAAAAAAAAAATTAAGGAAAAG